CAGACTTCAAAAAGCTACAAACAAATTTCAAAACATCTACGACAAATCAAATCCATCATACCATTTAGACTTCTTATGCACTGTCTGGTTGAGAAGGTAACAAGTCCAGGTGAAAGCCCAGACATCCCCATCCCCACAGGCACACTCCAGCCCCCTCTGGGAAATCCCAAGACATTCCCAGGCCAAAGATCCATCCAGTGAGTTTTAAGTCTGCCTCTGGATTGCCTCCCAGTGGGATGCGCCTTGAAACCTTCAGAAAAAGGCAATAGGGAGACATCCTACTTATTTAGAGACTAGAACCACCTCAGTTCACTCCTTGTGATGCAAAGGAGAGATGGTTAAACAGCTGAGATTCTATCAAATAACAGAGCTACATACTTCACCTCCAAAGCTCTTTACAGCCACCCTACAGAGGAACCTCGTTAAAGATCATTTATTTACTTTATAGTTTATCCCCACAGCACCAATCAGGAGAGCCTTAAATTTTATCTACTGGAGAACTTCTAGGCACTAGAAAGTAGAGACACGTGGTGGATATTAAAGAACCATCAAGCCATTAAAATTAAGCTGATAAAAAGAAAACCCATAAAGGTTCTCGTAATTGTTTTATGATTTTTGTTTTACGTCTCACAAAGGCTGAACTATTTTCAGCCGTAACTCCCAAGTGTAAAGAAAAGCTGCCACGTAGGTCTGAGGTTTTGAGTAAAAGAGGAGTGTCCACTCTAAAAGAGACTGATTGCTGTTTGGTCCTGAGCTTGGGATGCCACTGAGAAGTGATTGACAGCTCATTAGCCAGATGGTTGATCTGAGGGTGGGCTGGACAGCAGCCTTGCTCTGGCTTGGGGCTTCCACGAGCGTGTTTTTGAAGCTGTGGTGCCTTTCTAAAGCATGCCAGACATTCAAATAAGCTACTTTTTTTTCCAAGTTGGAGGGAGAACAAGGTGAGCAAAATGCTCAGCTAGAAGAAGATATGAAGGCGAGAGATGTCACGTCATGATCTTGAGACGGTGGTCCATGCTTTTATTACGGTGCGATTGGACTACTGCAACTCTGTTCTATTCGGTGTGAGCAAGGGCTCAATAGCCAGGTTGCAAATGGTCCAGAATGCTGCTGCCAGATTTTTAGAGGGCAGGCGCAAGTTTGACCACATAACTCCTGTCCTGGCTGCGCTTCACTGGCTGCCCGTTGATGTTAGGATTCATTTTAAAATACTTTTACTAGTTTTTAAAACGTTAAATGGTTTAGCCCCTCCTTACTTGGTGTCACTACTTCAACCTTACACCCCTTCACGGTCACTCCGCTCGGAGAACTTCATGCTCCTCTCGGTCCCAAGAACGCGCCTAAAGACGCGTGGTGATAGGGCTTTTGCTGTGGCAGGTCCTAAGCTTTGGAATAAGATTCCTCTCAGCATAAGGGCCTCCACCTCTGTTGCGGTTTTTAAGGCAAGGCTAAAAACATATTTTTATGACCTGTCTTTTAACCTTTCTAACTAGTTTTATTGTTTTACTTATAGCGATTTTACTCACTGTAGTTTTATCTGTATCGTGTGATACAATGTTTTATTTTCTGGACTAACTGTTTTATGTTTTTATTTGATCAGTGTAGCGCCTTGGTGGCATCTTTTTGTCTGTAAGGCGCGATTTATAAATAAAGTTGAGTTGAGATGTCTTGAAATGTGGCCCTGAGAACAGGATGTGGTTTACAGCGGATAGCTTGATCAAAATGAAAAGGCACGCTCTTTTCTGTCACACGACTGCCAACTTTAAATCTTAAGACAGACAATGAGGCCCGCAGCAAAAGATCAACCATTGTATCCAAAGTTGCAGTGATGGGAAGAAAAGTGGACAGCACAAGGTGGCACAATGAGCCAAAAAATGACCCCAGGAGAAGTTCACGTTCTTTTAGTCTGAGTCACAAGCTACCACCATCATGACTGACAAACCAGAAGCCACATCAGACAAGACTACATTGACAGAGTGTGTAAACACTGACAAAAAAAATAAACTCTTATCCAACATCCCCACATCTAGCCATCTATACTGGGATTAAATGAATGAAATCAACCATAAGGGAGTCCTCAAACAAGATTTTTAGAAGGGAATTTGAGTCCTGTGCAGAACAAGTTTAACAAGAACAGAAAACTGAAAGCAGAAAATAACGGAGAAAGCAGCAACGTGGGAGTGAACGCGGGAGAACAAGCAAGCAACATGAGGAGTCTGTAGAATAGATCCCCTGGCTACAAATGTATGCTGATGAGTCACGGAGTGAGCCTGTGATGTGATGGAGACCAATCTGACAAAGAAATCAGCTCAAAGTACTAAAATCCACCGCTCTCTGGAATAAGCTGTGCCTCACCGCATTCGCTTGTGTTCAAGAGCTCCAGCTGAAAGTAACAGATGGGGGAGGAGAGCAGACATAAATATTTCATCCCCAAGAAAAACAAATATCCATTTTACTACCTCTAACATTTCCAGCTATATTGTGCATCTTAGTTTGCCTCGGCGGGGAGGGGGTGCTTTTCTTTTTATTATATAAGATTTATCCAAATAACAGAACTAAAGTGTAGCTCAGAGAGCTCTGTAACCATCACTTTAATCAAAATGACAGGAAACTCTTCAAAGCACTTATGACAGTAGCGCTCCACCCAAGCTTCTTTTATCTGTTCTAATCCACACAAACTACACAGGCTCTGGATTAAATCCATCTTCATTGAGATGGAATAGCTGATGGAGCCCACCATGATGAAAACAATCACCCCCGGAAATAAAGAACAGGTGACAAATGTTCCACCTTTGGTCAGGAAACACATTTATCCAGAGGTGGACAACGAGCGCTACTGTGAAGTACAAAACCGAGAACAGTACACCAGTAAAGAATTAAAAACCCAATAACTCAAATGACGTTTCTCTGTCAACATCCCTCTACTCGGAGTGTATCCCTTTAAATTGGAGCTGCTTGCTATGTGTGTGTCATTCTAAGATAGATATGCGGACAGCTCTTTATCAACCAAACAGACACTGAGTGAAGCCCTGAAAGCTGCAGTCATCTACTGCTGCTGGTTTTAACACAGCCAATGTCCAGAATGGCAAGAAACCAGGATATGGAGGTAAATAAATGAATTTTTCAAACTAACTGAGACGTCAAGAGTAAAACAAACGAAATAATCAAAATTCTTATTATAATAGGAACGAACGTGATGCCTCATCATATTTAGCAAAAAGACAGAAATAAAAAAGCTCACTTGAAAGATTTAAAAATAAAGCAGCACCAACAAGCTGAGCTGGGCGAAGGACAGGGTATTGAAATTGTATGTAATCTATCCAAAATATCCCAAAAATTATTTAAAAGTAGAATGCAACAAAAAGCAGATAACCACTCACTGGTGTAAATGCTTGTTTGGTATCCACCCATGACCCCTTAGAGCGGTATGAAATCCTTTTGTTCATCCAGAGATGTCTCCACTCTCCATACAACATAGTATATAATGAAAGTATTTTCAGTGGTTTTATAAACATTTGATTATTTTTGTAGTCTTCAAATATGAAACAAACATGATCTTTTGTGGGAAACCGAGCTCTGAGCAAGGAATAAAATGAGTTTCATAGGGCTCCAACTACTTGGACGGTTCCTAGGCCACTAACTTACAGGAGCATTAAAAGGCATGCAACACGTCTTTAGGTATAGAGACGCACGGTGTTTGGAAACTGAGGGATGGCAAAGTTCACTACGTGTCCCACATCTTACCACAATTTTCAATCGATTTCATGTAAAAACAACAGAGCACATGAATTATTCAATGGTCTCATCTAAACAGTTAAGTGTCCAGAACTGCCTAGATTACACACGGACTAAACAGAAGATTCGTGCTTGGGTTAGACACACAGAACATGAACGTGCAATGAGAACATCAAACATATCCACTAATCCAAAATAGGGACTGTTTTACTCATAGGATCAAATCTGCAGCACTGGGCGTTGTTCTGGAGATGCAAAGTAAACAACACGTGCGCTCTGACTAATTCAGTCTGTGTTAAATGAGCTGCTCTCATCTTGTGCTCTTTTCAGCTGCAGCATTGCAGCACAAGTGATGCACGGATGGCACCGGTTCCTCCTGCTACTTCAGTTCTAATAGTCAGTCTGTTACATGAAGAAGCACTGAAGCAAGTGGGCAAGCAGGACGAGAGAAAGCAAGCGTATTCATCTGCTCCACCTGCGTTATCAGTGAAGATGAGGAGGGATAGGCATCAACTCACCAGCTCTGTCCATCCTGCATTACCCTAAAACACCTAATTATCACATAGAAATGTAAACGCAAGACAGAAGCGTGGCTCTGTGATGAGCAAACATTCAAAGTGCTGCAATGAAGTTGTCCATGTGAAATATGTGGCACAAACAGAACAGAAGGGAAAAATGAAAGGATCAGGGAGGTACAGTGACATCACACTATCGGATGATACAGGGAACGGTGTAGGTCGAGCCCACAGAGGAGACCGGTGATAAATCACTCACCTGAGCCCCCTCATTCACACTAGTGAGCTGATGAACAGGGCAGGAAAAAGCCAGACCCAGGAAGCTACAGGACTTCTCGTGTGGAGGAACACAATGGCTCTATTTGCTGTGGTGATGTTAACCCGTGGCTACAACTCCACACAAACACACGTTTACTCATCCAGAAAGCTGCACAGCTAACAGGGCGGATAAGCTCACGGTAGACACAATTGCGATGAACTAAACGCCCCAGCATAGCCGCTGAAGAGAACTATAAACAGCCGATCTTCGCAGCTCAAACGTACACATGAGCTGGTGGCTAACTCACCGGTGATAACCTAGCTGGCTAACATTAGTGCTCTAGCTGCTTCAGTGAGACTAAATTAGTCCAGCTCGTTCAGTGATTGTGCTTCATGTGGGACACCAGAGTCAAATGTGTGGCTGTGTCACATAAAAAACTATTTCCCCGTCTTTTTTAAAGGCTGACGTTATAGTTCCTGTGTTTTTTTTACCTTTCGTCTCCTGGTTTCAGCAGTACCACTCCAAACAAAGCATTGGTAAATGACTCGAAGATTTTGTCTCCAATTGTCCACCTTATAACCGTTCACATGGGAGCACCCGGCCGGACTCATGACAGACAAAACATTCAGTATGAATGTTCAGGTGACAACAAAGAGTCTCCTGAGTAATTCACTTAGCTAGCTACCTAGCACGAACTATCAGTCCAGAAATGGTTTCCGTTTGGAAATGGGACAATCGATGTAGTATCCAAACTGCTCCTCGGGCATCTAATAAACAGTCTTTGATGAACTAGCTATAAACCAGTTTATGTAATCATCTAACAACTGTGTCAGTCCTATAAAGCGTCTACTCTCCTTGCTCTTTTGACTTTTGTCATTTCCTTTAACGTTAGCTCTACTTCCACTCACGATTCGTTAGCTTTCTTTCTCTAGTTAGCCTGCTAACTCTCAACTACTGCTTCACAATGCCCGCCCATATGGCTCGTGATTTGTCAACACAGGCATTACGTAACTGCGTTCAATTTCAAAGCGCGTTGGGTGTGCTTGGTTTAAGGCCCCACGTGCCCCGTATGAGTGAATTTTTGGGCATTTGCATCAATGACGTTGCCATAACGGAATCACCTCCCACTCAGGATAAACGGGATTGTTTAAGCAATCCACTATTTGTAACTGTTCTTCTGAATGGTGCAAATTGCATCCATAGGTGAAAGAATTATCTTTTTGGATTAAACCTGTCTAGTTTTTATTAAGAAGTCTGATCAGAATATTTAAAAAAATGTTGCTTGATTTCTGAGGACAAACTGCATTTTAGTTTCATTTCAAACATTTGAAGCGAACCACGTCTATCAATACTAAAAATGTATTCTTAAAACATTATTTAAACAAGTTTTATGAGCAAAATAATCCATTTACTAATGCTCAACATTTCAGATAGTCAAATATGTTACAAAACCCGTTTTAAATCAAGTGGAATTGTATTTATTTTCTAATCGTGTGTGTTTGGTGTAGTATAGATTGTCTTCAAACAATAAAACCTATTTTCAGACCAGTCTTTAACGATGTGCTAGGTTAAAATAAGTTTTCAGAAAAGTTTTCAAATTATTATTAAATTAAGTGTTTATTTTGAATTTCTACTTTACTTTGACACATCATAATTAAACATTTCCCATATACAACTTAGTCTTCGTTGAAAAAGTAAAATTTCTCCAGTTTTTATTTTTTATTTTTCACTGATACACATACTTTTTGTTTTACAAAATGTATTTTTGCAGACATGTAACTGCATAATTCTATACAGTTTAATCATTTCTGAAACTCAATACATTTCGTGGCTGTGCAGCTGCACAGACTTCTCATTCATCAGTTCAATGCTGCCACCTTATGGACATTAAAATATGCAGGCAAAAAATGAGGCAGCAACGTCTACATGCATGTTGCAAGTCATGATGCAGAATCAACGCATGTAATTGAAACATGAATTATAAATACCAGCTAACCATAACCACACTAACGTATCATGACGTAAACTATCACAGCTGTGATGATAAAATGCAGGATTTCAGAAAATGGCCAAATGGATGATCATAAATGTCAGTGAGAATCATTATAATTAATTTTAGTTTTGATTTTATGTGCAGGAACAATAATTCAAACAATTCAAAACAAAAAATACAAAATTATAATATTTTAAAAGATAAAGATTAAAAATTATATTTTCGGCATTAAAAATGGCATAAAGAGGAGCATTTCCCCTCTTTTTTCCGTTCTCATTTGTTGCCCAAACTTACACATCTACTTTAAATCTGGGCTTGCTTCTCACTGAGATGAGCTGAGGGGAAAAAAAGAAAAACTAAAGTAAAACTAAAGGGAAAAGAGCACGACTGTAGAACTAATTCATGGTATTGTGTCCTTTATTTTTCACTAGGAGGCAGCGAAAAGCTCTCAGGTTATTTTCCTTTGCTTGCTGATACCAAAGCATTAAGTTTTCATAATTTCCAAATAATAAAAATCACTCTAAATGAATGTATGAATGTATGTATAAAGAAATAAAACCTGGATTTTGGAGTTTTCAAGTTTATTTATTTATACAGCGCCAAATCACGACAAGAGTCGTCTCAAGGCACTTCACATAATAAACATTCCAGTACAGATCAGTTCATTAAGCCAATCAGAAATAATGTTTCCCATATAAAGAACACAGCAAATTGCATCAAGTCACTGACTAGTGTCAGTGACTATACAGCAATCCTCATACCAAGCAAGCGTAAAGCGACAGTGGAGAGGAAAACTCCCTTTTGACAGGAAGAAACCTCCAGAGAATCCTGGCTCAGTATAAGCAGCCATCCTCCACGACTCACTGGGGATCGAGAAGACAGAGCACACACACACACACACACACACACACACACACACACACACACACACACACACACACACACACACACACACACACACACACACACACACACACACACACACAGACGCACACACACGGACGCACACACACACAGACGCACGCATGCACACACACACAGACGCACGCACGCATGCACACACACACACACACACACACACACACACACACACACACACACACACACACACACACAGACGCACACACACACACACACACACACACACACACACACACACACACACACACACACACACACAGACGCACACACACGGACGCACACACACACAGACGCACGCATGCACACACACACAGACGCACGCACGCATGCACACACACACAGACGCACGCACGCATGCACACACACACAGACGCACACACACAAACATATACAACACAACACAAAGTTCGGCAGAGGATGTGGAATAAACACATCATGTTGATGAATCAGCACACAACACTGTTTACTCAGAGACTTTTCCAGGAAAAGAAGAGAACAAACTTTTAAGTCAATACGTTTACTTTCAAAACAGAAAATTCTGAGCTACAGATTACATGGAGACACGTCTGTTCTTGACTATCGTGGGGTTAAGGACGTTCCTTACCAAAATATAATTTAAATGGTAATAAATCTCTCATTTTGAGACATTTGGATGTTTATCAGGGCACAAAGTGGTTTTTAAAGCACTTATTTTGTGTAAAGGTGTTGTAGTGAAACATCTGTGATAAGTGCTATATTAATAAACATTACTTGTGAGAAAATTCTGTAAAAATTATCACTTGAGAAATAAGGTAATATCTAAAAAAATTAAGCTTTTAAAGCACACAGAAATAAAAAATGTTGTAAAAGTAACCTGTCTTTTCTCAAACATTACCTGATTTGAATGTTCAGGACATTGTCAGTGCTCTACAGAACTGCACATCTCCAGAAGAAAAAGTAATAAGGAGATTCTGGTTATTAAAAAATCTGAATAAAATAAGTGTACCTGAACAGTGACAGCTGAAGCACTGGCTGCAGTTCGGTTTATCCCTTTTTGCACAGCTCTGCTCAGGTCAGCAGGTCAGAAAGTTCTCCAACACTGTCCAGTTAGTCATAACTATGATGGTTGCAGAGAAGATGCAATGGTTTAGTTTCTTTCTCTTGTGTTGTTTGTTTCAACAAAAGTAAAAAAAAAAGGGGGGGGGGGGGGGGGGGCATTTAGCTTGTTTTCAACAGTTTTCAGAAGAAACAAAGATTTTCTTATTTTTAAAAAGATGTTTTATTTGGGGATTCCAATGTTTATACATAGTGTAAATAAAGACTAAGGGCTGGCTTCATATCTCATGAAGAATGAAGACAAATATAGTCAGTTTTCCTAAAAAGATTATATCCTTCATTTATTGTTTTACAGATTAACTGAACAGCTGTGGCAGGGTGTAACACCTCCACTAGTACATGCACGAATAATGTGATGATATAATATGTGTGCATATTTATGTTGATTTAGAACAACATAAGAAAATATAAAATGTGCTTGTTTAACTTACTGTTTTTGCATTTTTACCATTGACATATATACTAGACTATTCATGTCCATAGGCTCGAATAAGGTTTTGTTTCCAAATGGGAGGTTCCCACCACCGCCATTTTGACTGTGTCACTCATCCCGTCATGCCCAGACAATCCAAAAATGGGAAAAGAGGTGGAGCTGAAGGTGGAGCTGTTACGGTTGGAACAAATTAACCAGTGTAGCTACTAGCTAACTTGGCTAACCCAAGAAGCGAAGGGCTCCAGGGACCGAGGTATCCCACCCGCATGGCAGACTGGCTCCTGTGCGAGGCTGTAGTCATGCTGGTCGCCTGTGGAGATCTATTATGGACCGGTACTGTTAAATTACAAGCTGAACCTCAGACCACTGCAATCGTAGCCAGGCGCCGTAGTCTTTTACATCATCTCTTGCTCCACAGTTGGAGATCAGGTGGAAATTAGCTACATCATGATACTCAAAGCTAACAGAACGTTTCGGGGCATTTTTAGCTAGTGAAGGCACCTCCAGCCTGTTTAGTAACAAAATCATAACTAGGTAAGTTGACTGAGGATATTGGTCCACCGTGGTCCAACATCCGTGAGTCCACCTCTGTGTCGACACACCACACACCACAGAGCCGAAAGCCGAGAGTCGAGAGCCGAGTCCACAATGGCGGTGTTGGTCTCTCTTCCGTTAGACCAAGCACGGGTACGGAGTAGATGGAGTTAAACACCTTTAAAGTTGTCAGAACGAGGAGACAAATGATCAGAAGTCCATTCACTGTTTCGCCGCTCATGAGGGGGAGAGTCTCTGCAGCAAGTCCCGCGACCTGCTCTTGCCAGATGCTTCGGACAGACTCTCGCCGTTCTGCTGAAAACGGCTGATTTTTATTGAAGATTACAGGAATGTTACATACGTAGTTTGCCATACACACACGTAATTCTGCCATCTGCACCTGCAGACGCACGTCAGCTAATAGCCTTGTTAATGAAAGACCAATTCATCCCAAGGACATGCAACCTTGAGATGATCAGGACACATCCTGCAACATCCTTTGCTAACAAAGACAGTTGTTCTTGTATTGAGGAACTGAAGGAAGGAACACTTTCACTCCCTTATGCAGCTGTTCAGCTTGAGCAGAAAAGGCACAGAGAGGTCTTTGATATTATAACAAGATTCCATGAAAAGGCATATAATAATGTATTTATGATAATATATAAGGGGCAAAAGTGAGAGATACATATTTAATCATATAAAAGAGCTTATAATAATATATGAAAGAGCTTATATGAGAGATATATATTTTCAATCCCCCTTTTGAACTCTTTTAAGAGTTCAATAAAGATATAAGAAATCAAAACAATAACACCAAATTCCATCAAAAAGAATCCAATAAGCAAAGTTTTAAAATACCAATACAAACAACCAATCAGATTACATTTACTCATCTTTCTAGCAGTAAACTAATACAAAAAACATGATCATACTTTCAACAGAACATGTTACAACATGTATGGATCGCATGCAACTCCATATGAGGGCGAAAAACCCTAATTA